AAGTCCTCCAAGGTCGAGAAGGGAGAGTGTTGACATGTCATGGAGTTGTTAATGAATGTCATAAAAGAATATGTGTACTGACTGTTTAATGAAAAACTGTTCTGTAAACCTTCATCTAAAGTACGATAAAAATATATACATATGAAAAAAAAAGTGCCCAAGAAAGTACACTGTCTTGATTTCAAAGTGATCAGTTTGAGAAAGAGAAGAAATGAAATCTCATAAAAGGGTCAGGGTAGAAGAAGGAAGTACAACTGTGAGTACAGTCTAAAGAACTAACAGCAGAAAGCAAAACAGAAATGTAAGGGCAGTAAAAGGAGCCTGAGTCAGACCAAGGGAGAGGGAAGAGAAAATCTCTGAAGGCTTGGATACCTAACAACAGAAGTTCATGACCATGAGAAGGCAGGCAGAGAAATATAGCTTCTGGGAAGAAGAAAACAACTTAAAAAGCAAGATTTGAGCACAGTTGGAGAAGCCAATGGAGGAAAAGCCCAAATGTGTAGAAGTGACAGTCATTTCCTGTCTGAGACACTCATAGTATTCATCTGAGTCAGCTCAGTGGTTTGAGGACTTTTAAGAACTTTCTGTATACAACACTGCATCAGTGACAGAGTGTTTTTACCTCCACGTCGCCCAGCATCCTGGTCCTCACCCACCTGGACAGCTCTGACTGGAGAGTTTGGCATTTATTGTCCATGGCTCTTCTCCTTGCTCCAACTTGAAGATTAAATCAGGTTTGCTACCAGGATATCCTGTTAATGGAAAACCACAAAGGATTTGGGCCACACTGCTACAGATTCAGGTAATCTGAAGACAGGGGAAGACAAAGCATCAGGAGCTACAAGACTAACCTGCTCATTTGCACTTGGGGAAAGATTTCAATTAGGAGGTGAGAACCAAATAGGGACTAAGAGCATTTGACCTCTGAAGTTCAAGTCCATAATCATTAAACACTTCAGAGGCTACAAAAGCAAAGGGGTGGCAATTTATAATTCACAATCTGAGTTAAATAGAAAAGCTGTACTTACCCACTGATACTAGGTTGTAATAGTTTTCCAGTATCACATCCTGGTACAGGTACTTCTGAGCAGAATCCAGTAGCTGCCATTCTTCCCAGGTGAACTCCATAGATATATCCTTGAATGACAATAATCCCTGTAATAAGATATACTCATTCAATCTGATGCAATTGCATCAGGTGACATGGACAAGATGTGGAAGAACCGGGAAATGAGAAAAAGAAGTCCCTCCACAGATTGCCTCCTATGCCTGGTTTTACTATGTGAAAGAATTTTTTTAAAAAATTGAGATTCCACTTGCCAGATACTCTTCTGGGTCTTGATATAAAGAGGAATAAAACACAGTTCTACCCTCAAGAAGCCTTCAGTCTTGGAGAGGGAAACAAACATCTATTCATGCAAATGAAATAAGATGTTATGAGCCTTTGATAAAAACATATCTGGCTATATTTTGGGCAGAAATGGAGAAGAGAACAATTCTAAAAATTTGTCAGGTTAGGCCCTACTGAGAATCACTTGAACAGTCTTTTTTAGAAGAATCATAGTATGTTTCCCAAGATAGTGGTGTGGAAAGGGTAATTCAGGAGACAACTGGAATTGAGTTCAACTGTGAGCAACAGAAAAATAAATAGCAGTGAGTGAAACAAGTGTATCTTTCTCCCACTTCCAGGAGTCTGAAGGCAATCCGGTGATCCCTCAGTATCTAAGGACTCCAGTCATTACATCTGCATTCTAGCCAGTGGCAAAGAGGGGCACCGGGAGGGAGAAATGATAGGGAGATTCGGAAATGTAGTCTTTGTTCTGTATGCCCATGTGGCCAGCTAAAAACTGATGAATCTATTATTACAGAAGAAAAAATAAGAATATTGAGAGACAACATGCAGTCCTTGTACAAAGAGCAAGCATTACACAGGACATGTGGCAAAGCCTGGTAAATTCAAGGAACTGACAATATTTCAGAAATAGAAAAGGGGGTATAATGAGAGCAAAGCTAAGGGCCAGACTGTGAACCAAATCTGGGATGTTGTTCTGTAGACAAGAACAGCCAAGGTAGGTTTATATAGAGAAAGAACAGGCAATCTCTAGAGAAATACAGGCTGAAAATTTTTCAGGAGTGAATAACAACATAGGAGTTTACATTGAAAAACCTACTAATTGAAAAGCCACGTCGCTTTTTTAAAAAAAAAGTCCAAATTTAAGCAGATGGTAGCTAAACTTCAGAAAATAACGTATATATAGAATATCTGATAACAAACCAAAGAGAAACAACAGAACACTTCCTGAAAGTGGGAGAGAGATAAACTTTAAAGTGCTGAGGAAAAGTAAATCTTATATCCAGCCAAACTAAAGGCAGAGATAAGGGAAAATAAAAGACATTTCTAAATATACAAACACTTAGAAAATTTACCTCCTACAGAAATACATCAAGAGGAAAAAAAAAAAACATAGAAGGCATTAGCGGGAAGCTGGACACAACAGTGACCACTGCAGTTAATAAAGTATATCAACAAATCTAAATGATTACTAATTCAAAAACATTTTTAGTGTGTTTCCTCACACTCGAACAAAAATTACGATCAGCAACCATACAAGTATGGATGTGATACAAATTGGTGAGAATGATAGAAATTGAGGTGTACAAAGATCCTTCTCTCATTTGGGAAAAAAAAAGATACTTTAGACTTTGGTTTAAAGGAAAAAGCTCAAGTGTGTATGTAAACAGCTGAAAGCTAACCACTAAAAAAAAAAAGTAGGGAGGGAGGAAGAGGGGGAGACAAACATACAACTTCCATAATAAATATAGAGAGGAATAAATATACAGAAGAAAATGTTCAATCCAATAGATCATAGAAAATAAGAAAAAGAAACACAGAGATAGCGCAGAAAACATAAACTAAACATGATAACAATTATTCCAAATATGGTGATCCGTAATCACAGTTACGAATGAAATAAGTAAAACCCCCATTAAAAGAGATATATACATTGGATAAACAAGTCACAACTCTATGTTGTTTAGAATAGATGAGACACAAAACGTAACTAAGAAAGTAATGAGATAAACCAAAGAATAAACAGAAATTAGAAAATAATGGAATAAAGACGTATCAGGCAAATACTAAATGAAAGCTGATAATCACAAAATCAGCACAGGATAGCTGCATTTTAAACAAGTTTAACTCAAAAAAATGAAACTAAACGCCATTCATTCATATGTATCCTCCTTGGTAAGGGTCACGCTAGTAGATTCCTCTGTTCTGGTACCTCCTCCTGGAACGCTATGCCCACATGCACAGAGTAATAGATAACACTATTCTATGCTAGCTGGTTTTTCTACATACAACCTCACACATCAGAACAATGACAAGGTTGCAGGGTTTATGCCTGTGAGGTAACTGCAGCCATCACGGAGCACACATGTGCTCACTCCTCCAGCCTCCAGCTTTCTCCAGCCTCTTCCTGGTAACCAGAGACAACCATGGTGGGGACATCAAGCCAGAGTATGAGAAGCAGAGAAAACAACTACATACTTTGCTGAAAATGAGACAGTCATACATCTATGGCCCAAAGTATACAAAGTCTAATGTGTAAAGGCAGTGCCACTTTAATTCAGCCTGGTCCTGAGTCACAAATTACTCAATCTGGTGTACATCATGGCAGCAGCTACCCACACTTAATTCTGCAAAGCAAAGTGGCTGTTCTGAACTTGTTAAAGAAGATACATTCTAATCATAGCATACATGCACGTGCCATATTGTTGATTTAAAGGAATGAGTTACTTTAACCATGAATTTGGATTTACACATTCCTCTTTGGGATGTAACTCTTGAAGAAGATGTGACACAAATGTATAGCAATTCAAAATAAAAATAAACGACGACTTCTAATCCTGGTAAAATGGAAAATAAAATAACCTGGAAATCCTCACCCTAAAAAAATCTAGAAATGATGGATAAAATATACCAAGTAGCTTTCTAAATACATGACTAAAGTCTCAGGAAAGAAAGGGAATCTGAAAGATGAAAAGAGAACTGAGGACCAGAAAAATAAGCACAAGCTGAAGACCACACTGTCTCTACTGAAAACTGAGGCAAAGAGTCTTGCTGGCCTCAGGAAAAAGAGGTTCAGGTTTGATGGCACACAAGGAGAGTAACAAGACCTAGGTCCCACCTGAGGTGAAAAGGTTTGGAACTGAAATCCTAACAGCAGGGACAAAAGGCAAACTCATTTGAAGGGAGAACTAAAAAAAAATAATTTATCAGTAAAAGGGGCCAGCTAGGAAGTTGTGTATTTCAGCCCAAGGATCTGAGGGAAGATTTGGTATTGTCAGGCCTGTTCTCAAATGTAACAAAGTGTATTTATCAAAAATATCAGGTGGATTTGCAAAATTACCAGATTTTCTGAAGATTAGCCAGAATTGAAAAAAAACTGGTGAAGACAATACAAATCTCAAGAAATTACATGAAATACAGCAGAGTGTTTAAAAAAAAAAAAAAAGGTGGAAAATAGAAAAGGGAAATGGAAAGTAAAAAGTGAATCAAAAGAGGCATACAGAGAATGGAGGAATTTAAACATGACAGATTGTGAACATCCTTGCTTACCTGAGCCCTACTTAAATTATACTACAGGCATACGATATGAACAAATACAGCCTTCCAAGGACAAGGGAAACAAGAGGAAAACGTAAGCTGATGTTTCAATAAATATTTAGAAAACAGGAAGCCAAAGAAGTGGTGACTTCTCAGAGCAGAAACTAATCTGGAGAATGGGCAGAGGGGGCTACTGATGAGAAGTAAACCATCTGCCCTACAGAAACCCCCCAAAAGCTTTGAGATCAGGTATCCTGAGTGGCAGGAATGAGGTATGAGCTGAAAACACAGATGGCTGAAACCTGTATATGAATTAGACCTTCAGATCCCACCTACTGCCCCAAACACTCAGGGTCTCAGAAACGGGAGTGGGAATGGCCCAGACTTGGGGACAAAGAAACTGTTGAAAGGTCTGACCCTCTAGTGAATTACTGCCATTTTGTGAGCTGCTAAGCCCACGGCGGGGTACTTCCTCATTTGAGTCTCATTGGGAGCAGAGCTCACTATTAAAGAGAGTGAATGTAATGAAAGATACACTCTCCCCCAGACAGGCACTGGTCCAGCACTGTGTTTAAGAGAAAGTTCTATCAACATCCAAGGAACAGAAAATTCCCATGACAGCTAATCTGATGCCAAGCTGAGACAAAGATGGACATCAGTACATCCTATGAAACATGCACAACCTTAGACACAAAACCCGATGAGGACAGCATAGGCAAACTGTAGTCTATCTCCTTTACTATTAACATGAATCCAATATCCAGATAAGATACTAGTAATATAAAACTAATCCTCTATTTTAAATAGCAAATTATGGCAAAGGAGGGTTAATCCAGAGAAGTGATATTCCAAAATTTAAAAACAGAAAAACCTATCAGTAAAATACATCACAGTACATTAGTAGGCAACAGCTTAACAATTATCTCATTTTGGTAAGATATACATTAACAGATTAATTCCTTGTGATAGATACAGTAAAACCAACAAAAGCCAGAATCTGTGGAAGGTGAAAACCTGTCAGAGAAGGAAAGCTCAAGTATTTTCCACTAAAATTAGCCATTAAAAAGTGGTATGACTGCACCGTCAAAGGCAAAAAATTTGCAACACCCAGAAAAACAAAGCAGTCCCATCAAGTTCCAGCTCTCACAGGTTTCACTGTGTATGTGTGTATGTATATGCGTATATACATATATATGTACATATAAACACACACACATATATAGTGGGAATACCAAGTAGAATTAATACTTTTGAAAATTGTTTGAATGTACTAAATTCAAATATATGTATACCCAAAGATTGAACAATCTCTCTCCAAGGTATATATCCAGTGGTTCTCAATGGGGAGGGGGCTGATTTTGACCCCAGTGGACATCTGGCAATGTCTGGAGACACTTTTGGTGTCACAACTGGGGTGGTGCTACTGGCATCTAATGGGTAGAAGCCAGGGATGGAGCTAAAAAGCCTACAATGCACAGGATGGTCCCCCACAACCAAGAATTATTCAGCCCAAAATGTCAATAGTGCTGAGGTTGAAAAACTCTGGTATACGTCTAACAGAAATAAGTACTTATGTCCATCAAAAGACATGTGCAAGAATGTTCATAGCAGTGCTATTCAAAATAGCCAGTAACTACACACAACCCAAATGTCCATAATAGCTGACTGCAACAGATAAATTATGGAATATTCATACAAGGGAACACCATACAACTTGGATTAAGCTCACAATGTTGAGTGAAAGCAGCCAGACACTATAGTATATGAATCCAGGCAAAATTACTCTATGTTGATGGATGTGATGGAAGTAAGACAATAAAGTGGTGACCTTTGGGGGAAGTTATGGTAACTGTGGGGGCGGGAACATAGTGGAACCTGCTGGGGTGCTGGAAATCTGTATTTTGATTTGGAAAGGATTGTCCTCAGTGTACGTAAAAATTTCACTTAATATTTATGCACTTTATTATATTTAAATTGTTGTTGTCAGTTGCCGTAGAGTCGGCTCCAACTCATGGCGACCCCATGTAAAACAGGAGGAAACACTGTGTGGTCCTGCACCATCTTCACCGTCATTGGTATACTCAGATCCATTGCAGCCACTGTGTATTGAGTGCCTTCCAACCTAGGGGGCTCATCTTCCAGCACTGTATCAGACAATAGTCTGTTGTGATCCATAGGGTTTTCATTGGCTGATTTTTGGAAGCAGATTGACACTTTCTTCCTATTGTGTCTTAGTCTGGAAGCTCTGCTGAAACTTGTCCACCATGGGTGACCCCTGGTATTTGAAATACTGATGGCATAGCTTCCAGGATCACAACAACATGCAAGCTACCACAGTACAACAAACTTATGTTAGAACTAAAGAAAAAAGTCAAAACCAAAAACAAACAAAAAACCCTCAAAGGGAAGTCTATATAAAATAATTACATAGATGTATCTTCAAAAATATTTTTTGCCTGGAGAAAAAAATACCAGTAAAGTGATAGGGCAAAGTGGAGTGACTGCCTGTCTTCCGCTCTCTGGAAGTCACTCCCTTACCAGAGGCTGTGAGATCCGGGCAGCAGACAGTTCAAGCCTTCAAGCCAAGTCTGGAATGCAGCTGTGCATTACCCTCCCTCCCTTCCTCACCTTCTTTCTTAACTCCAGTTGCTGGTATCACTCCCCCTTGCAAAGCCAGCTCTTGTCTGCACACCTCTTCTTCTACCCCCTCCCCCAGGCCTTCTGTCTGTCTGTCTTTTCCTTTGTTTTTCCTTTCCCCTTCACCCTTCCATTTCCTTCTTATTTTACCGACACAATTACTCAAGGAATATATTCACATTAAAAAGACTCCTTCACTCCTCTCATTCTACTTCCCAGAAAAAAATGACTGTCTATTTATTGTATAACCTTCCAGTCCTTTTTCTCTGTATTGTGCACGTATGATCATATACAAAAAAAATGCCAGCTGCCGTTGAGTCAATTCTGACTCATGAGAACCGTCTTAGTTATCTAGTGCTGCTATAACAGAAATAACACAAATGGGTGACTTCAAGAAACAGACATTTATTTTCTCACAATTTAAGAGGCTAGAAGTCCGAATTCAGGGTGCCGGCTCTAGGGGAAGCCTTCCTCTCTATCTCTCGGCTCTGGAGGAAGGTCCTTGTCTCTTCTGAGCTTCTACCCCTGGGCTATCTTCATGTGACTTGGCATCTCTCTTCCCCCGTGTCTGCTCTGCTTGCTTGTTTAATCTCTTTTATATCTCAAAAGAGATTGACTCAAGATACACCCTACACTCATCCTGCCCCATTACGATAACAAAAACAACCCATTCCCAAATAAGATTATAACCACAGGCATAAAGCTTAGGATTTATAACCTATATTTTGAGGGGACATAATTCCATCCATAACGCGATTCCATGTGTTTCAGAGTAGAACTATGCTCCACACGGTTTTCAGTGGTTGTGATCTTTTGGAAGTAGGTCGCCCGGCCTTTCTTCTGAGGCACCTCTGGGTGGATTCAAACCATTTGGCTGAGCACTTAGCTGTTTGCGCCACCCAGGGACTTCCTCTTTCTGCCTAGAAGTAAGCAATTAGTTAGTAGCATCGAAGATTTCTATCCATACCTTTTCCATGGGAAAAATACAGCATTATGTGTTCTTTTTCTCTATAAACTGTTCAATTTGCAATTTTGCTTTAAATTTATTTTAGATTTCTTCACAGTGATACACGTAGATCTGACCCCTTCCTTTTAATAGCTCCATATTATATCCTGCAGTACAGATGCACCACGTTTTATTTAGCTCATTCTCAACTGATAGAGATTTAAGTCTGAGTGGGGCCTCCCCGTGTCCTAGCTGTGAGCAGCCCGGCAGCTAGTAACCACCAGGGCTCCCTATCTTTCCTGCTCTCTAGTATGCCTCTCAGCTTTTCGTCTGCTGAAATCTTCTATTGAAACACAAATACATTTAAATTTTTTTAAATGACTAAAATTATGTCTGTGAATTTTACAAGGGGAGGGTTTCACGTGTGCTTAATCCAACATTTTAAAAAATGTTTTGTTTTTATGCAAATGGGATCATACTGTGTATAACTGTTCTCACCTCACTAGAATATACCCTCCATGGATCACGGACCCTGTCAGCCTTGTTTACCACTACATGCCCTACAAAAATATTTGGCATAATAGATGGTCAATAAAAGTTTATTAAATAAATACCAAACCAAAAAAACCACACCTGCTGCTGTCGAGTCAATGCCAACTCATAGAGACCGTACAGGAGACAGGAGAAGTGCCCCAGAGGGTCTCCCAGGCTATAATCTTTACAGAAGCTGACTGCCACTTCTTTCTCCCAAGGAGTGGCTGGTGAGTTTAAACCTTTCAGTTAGCAGCTGAGCACTCAACCACTGTGCCACCAGGGCTCCTTTAAGTAAATACATGTACCCCCCAAACAAGTAAATATAGTTTTCACCTGTTAAAATGTCTTTTAGGTCAAAGAGGTGAAAAGAACACAAACTCTAAAGACGTACTGCCCTGGGTGTGAATCCCAGCTCTGCTATGCTAGTCTCACAGGATCCCTCACTAGCTGTGTGACCCTGAGCAGGTTCCCCACTTTCCTCACCTGTAAATGGGGATATAATACCTGCCTCGTAGGGTCAGGAGAAAGTAACTACTTCATACATATAAAGCACTTAACAATGTGCCCAGCTAACAGTGGTGGCTATCATTAGTATCATTCAATAGTTTTAAATCTGTTTTTATTTAGGTCCTGCGCATTTAAGTTCACGTATTATTTTATTTTTTTATAATTGCTATTATAAATAGAATATTTTCTCTCATTGTTCTAAACAGTAACTGTTTAAAAATAAAAAGTCTATTGATTTTTGGGTTAATTCTGTGTCATTCAGGTCACCTCACTAAATTCCCTTCTACCTGACACCCTAACTCTTCCTGTCACACTCTTGCTAAACTTTCTTTCCATCGCACTGTCTACAGCCTAAGGCAGTCCACCCCGTGGGACACCTCTACCTTTCACAAAGCTACCATCCATACCACCCCTAACACTCTCCCTGTTCTGGAAAAATTGCCTAAGACCTACAAGTTCCCAAATCTAACAGATGCCTTTTGTCTTATAAAATACTTCTGAGGCATTTTATATTGTGGCCTTTACTGAAGTTTGAAGTTCTCTTTTCTCAAAGTCGAGGAACCCACTGCCTGTCGCTTCTTTGTAATTGCCACCAGTATTCTCCGTCCTCTTCAGGGATCTATTACTATGGTCCCAGCTAATTCTGCCACATCCTGAGCTTCCAAGAACATAGAAACCTTTAGTCTGTATTACTTCCAGTTTAGACCTCCCACTTTAGCTACAAACTCAACGACAGGCACTGCCAATTCCACATCTACAGTGCTGCACTCTCTCCCCGGGATAGCTCTTCTAATAACGTTCCCAGTCTCAGGAAATGTCACCGCCACCCACTGTGTCCACCTGGTTATAAATTCATCAACACTGGGAACTCTCGCCTCTTCCTCCCTCCTATCAATCCCTTAGATAGTCCAGGCTATTCACGAGTCCACTCCTCCCCCAACTGCGCCTTCCACCTTTGTACCCTCAAGTGCTCTCCCAGCCTCCTTTCCCTACCCTCGCGTTCACTTGTAACTGTGCTCACTGTGTTCTTGATTTTCATGCCACCTGACCACAGCTCCTCAAAAACAAGGAACGTACATAATTCATTTTTGTGTTACTAGCACCAGCCCCAAGGTCCAGCACGCACACACATGCACAAAAACACACCACTCAATAAATGTGCATGTGAACACATAAATGATCAAAGAGGTGGTTAATTTTCCTAATGAAGCTCCAAGGGTCTGGATCAGTAAATGTGTATAGAACACATGAAGTGGAGGAGGGATGGGTCATTTCCTTAACAAGAACCCTCATTTCCCTCAGTTCAAAGTCCACAGCGGGCAGTAAAGTCTAACTGTTGAACGAGAGAACCCCGGGCAGAAAACTCCAGAAGACAAGAAGCATTTCTAGAGGCACAGAGACTGGGAGCCGGGGGCACGTGAGTTTGGGACCCGGATGTGACAAGACATAAATCTGTTCATTCTCAGCGCCGAATCAGCTTTTCAAAAGTGAAAGTCCCTACTTACCCAACACGAAGACGTCCGGAGCCTGGTGGCCATCCCCACGCTCAGCTTAGGGCGCACTGCCTGGGTGTCCAGGGCCCGAAGACTACGGAGGAGAGAACTGTGAGGACAGCGGTCGGCCGGGCTCCCAGGTAACCACCCGGGGATTTTCCCGCCCCCAGAGAAAGGATCCACGGGCACCGAGCGCCTGCCCGTCCCGGGCTGGGACGCCTTCCCTCGGACAGACACGGCCACTCAGCTTATCCCCAGCAAGAGACGCGCGCGGACGGGCGACTCCCGGGGGCTGGACAGAAGTCCGCTAAGTGTGTACCGTTCCGCGGCCCAGAGGCAGGGGGGGTGCCGAGGCCGAACCGGCTCCACGTCCCGGGTCGACTGTGGAGGTTACAGACTGTTAGCTCCTGGTCTAACCAGGACCCTCTGGACCGGGTTAACTCGGTGCATCCGTTGGGTCAGCGATCAGGAAATCAGACGGGACTCTCCACCTACAGTCCATTGGCCCCCCCCCTCCCCCCTCCCTCTTGAGGCGCGGCACAGACTACAGCGTCAGTGCGGCGCACCGGAATTGCGTCATCCGTCGCCGCACCAGGAAACGCCGGTGCGAGAAAAAAACTATATTTTCCAGAAGGATTGCCGTAGGGTGGGTTATCTGCCGGGTTCCTCCATGAGGCTAGTCCGACCAGAAGGAGCGGAGCGGGCCCGGGTTCACGCTTGTCACCGCCATCCGCCGCGCCCCGCCTCGCCGCGCTCGCCCGATCCCACGAAGCCCTGGGGAAAGCCCACACTCAAGCCAAAGATACAGGGTACCCGGGTATTGAAGCAAACAAGATTGACTCCTGACAGAAACACATAAACCCTAATCAAGAATAACGTTTTATAAAGCTAAAAGCCACAATTGACAAGGTTATATCATGGTTTTGAATTTAAATGGACCAAATACTACAATAACCAACTTAATAAAGGAGAAACTTGTTAGGCGCTGTTTAGTCGGTTCCGACTCATAGCGAGCGACATTATGTACAATAGCACGAAACACTACGCGGTCCTGAGCCATCCCCACAGTCATTGCTATGTTTGAGCCCATTATTGCAGCCACTGTGTCAATCCATCTCGTTGAGGGTCTTCCTCTTTTTCGCTGACCCTCTACCAAGCATGATGTCCTTCAGGGACTGGTCCCTCCTGATAACATGTCGAAAGTAAGTGAGATGAAGTCTGGCCATCCTTCCTTCCAAGGCGCGTGCTGGCGGTACTTCTTCCAAGACAGATTTGTTGATTCTTCTGGCAGTCCATGGTATATTTCAATATTTCTTGCCCACACCATAATTCAAAGGCAACATTTCTTCTCCAGACTTCCTTATTGATTGTCCAGCTTTCACACCTTAGTCCTCAAAGTGACATCTTTGTTTTTCAACACTTTAAAAGAGATCTTCTGCAGCAGATTTGCCCAGTGAAATACATCGTTAGATTTTTTGACTGCTGCTTCCATGGGCATAGATTGTGGATCTCAGTAAAATGAAATCCTTGACAACTTCATTCTGTCCTCTGTTTATTACGATGTTGCTTCTTGGTCCAGTTGTGAGGATTTTTGTTTTCTTTATGTTGAGGTATAATCCATACTGAAGGCTGTAGTGTTTCATCTTCATCAGTAAGTGCTTCAAGTCCTCTTTGCTGTCAGCAAGCAAGGTTCCATCATCTGCATATCCAGGTTGTTAATAAGTCTTCCTCCAAATCTGATGCCACATTCTTCATATAGTCCAGGTTATCGGATTATCTGCTCAGCATACAGATTGAATCAATATGGAGAAAGGATATAACCCTGATGCACACCTTTCCTGACTGTAAGCCACGCAGTGTCCCCCTGTTCTGTTCGAACAACTGCCTCTTGGTCTATGTACAGGTTCCTCATGAGCACGATTAAATGTTCTGGAATTCCCATTCTTTGAAATGTTATCCATAATTTGTTATGATCCACACAGTTGAATGCCTTTGCATAGTCCATAAAACTCAAGTAAACATTTTTCTGGTATTCTCTGCTTTCAACCAAGATTCATCTGACATCAGCAGTGATATCCCTCATTCCACATCCTCTTCTGAACTCAGCTTGAATTTCTGGCAGTTCCTTGTTGATGTACTGCTGCAACCACTTTTGAATGATCTTCAGCAAAATTTTATTTGCGTATGATATTGTTTGAAAATTTCCACATTCCGCTGGATCACCTTTCTTTGGAATGGGCACAAATATGGATCTCTTCCAGTCTGTTGGCATAGACAATTGAGCGCTTCCCGCGTTGCAATCATTTGTTGAAACGTCTCAACTGGTATTCTGTCAGTTCCTGGAGCCTTGTTTTTTGCTAATGTCTTCATTGCAGCTTGGACTTCTTCCTTCAATACCATCAGTTCTTGATCATATGCTCCCTCCTGAAATGGTTGAATGTCAATAAATCTTTTTGGTACAGTGACTCTGTGTATTCCTTCCATCTTCTTTTGATACTTCCTGTGTCATTGAATATTTTCCTCATAGAATCCTTCAATATTATAACTAGAGGCTTGAATTTGTTGTTCAGAAAGGAGAAACTAGAGTAGACAAAAAGAAAGAAATACAAGCACACCAAAAATAGGAGACATTAGGATGCCCTTTATCACCACTCTTATTCAACATTGTGCTGGAGGTCCTCGCCAGAGAAATTAGGCTAGAAAAAGAAATAAAGGGCATCCAAATTGGTAGGGAAGAAGTCAAAGTATCTCTATTTGCAGATGCTATGATCTTATACACAGAAAAACCCAAAGAATCCACAAGAAAACTACTGGAACTAATAGAAGATTTCAGAAAAGTTTCAGGATACAAGATAAACATACAAAAACCAGTTGGATTCCTTTCAACCAACAAAGAGCACCTTGAAGAGGAACTCACCAAATCAATACCATTTACAATAGCCCCCAAGAAGATAAAATACTTAGGAATAAATCTAACCAG